GGCGAAGTTGGCTGTGCTAGGATTGCTAGAGATTCTAGACTATAGCATGTTTGCAGCATTTTAGGCTGGGTGTGACATATACCTGGACTATATGTATAGGCACAAGTCATCAATGTAACAGTGGCATTATTAAATTTGAAGGATTTGCTGCCATTGGGGTCAAATCTGTGATGAATTAGCCATCAGCAAATCAGCCAAGCCCTTGCTACAATGTAGCTATCTGAAAAAGGGGGTAGAAAACCTGTTGCTCTCTGATGATAAGCAGAGTTCAGCAACACCTGGATATCCATGGGTTCTCCATCCCCGTTCTCCTTGAAATATGACATGGGTCATGGGTTTGAGTCCTAGGTTGGGGAAAATATTCCTGCGTTGCAGGGGGATGGACTAGATGACTCTTGTGGTCTCTTCCAATTCTACAGTTCTAAGATTCCTGCTCCCTTTCATTTCCCTCCCAGCTCAGAACCTGGTAGCTGTTCTGAGCTCCTAGAATTTTAAATGGGGGGTAGATTACCTACCATCAGCTGCAGAATGACCCCACACGTGCTACAACAGAGTGTGGGATAACAAGGAGAGGCGAAGGGAGTGAGTATGAGTACAAGCCAAGGGCATGTATGTGATGGATGGGCGAGAGGGATGTGGGCCCCAGATTAAGGCTTTGCACAGGGCACCCATGACCATTAATACAGCACTGTCAAGGCACTGCTTTCTCTGGCCACACAACTAGATGGGAGAAATAAACCAGACCCTCTCTCCTGAATCCAGCTGCTAGCAAGCCAGACTGACACCTACTGGACAATATATTTGAAGCACATTATTGCCTTCATGGCACTGAGCAGTACACTGAGCAGGGTGGGACTGCTATCTGCTGCAATACAAGAATATTCACCCGTGCAGCAGCTTTCATTGTTAACCAAGTTGAAACACCTACTACATAAATATCTAGCTGTTAGAGCTTATCACTACTATAGCAGCTTTCTCTCTGCAAAGTGCTACTTTACAGGTCTTCGCACCTAGTACTGACTCACATAAGCAAGACTAAAACATGGCAATGAAACACGGTAGGTGGCAATGATGGCAAGGAATTGATCAGGATACTAGATACCCTACCAACTCTTACATAATGTCTAAGATGTGGAACATGCATCACCACTCAGATAGTGAGGAAAGAACAATGAATCATTTTGAAATAGTTCCCCTTCTCCTGTGGTCTCTAGCACTGCTCAAAATAAAACTGGAAAAGAGGCTCAGCCAGATTCAAAGGGTGAAACCTACCTCAGTCTACCCCACAAACCTCAGCATCCAAAGATCAAGTTTCAGCTCTCCTATAATCAGGTATTTCATCAGTGTGAATGCTCATAAGGCTATTAAACTGAATTTTTAAAAATTGGCTTGTGATGCCACATTATTCCAGATTTCAAAATAGATAGGAAATTATTTTGCAGTGGTCCATTTTTGCAGGTATAGAAGTTCTTGAGCTGCTCAGGATTTCTTGGTAGGCAGAACAGAAGCTTATTATCTATTTTAGAAAAATCAGTGCTGGATTAGCCTTTCAAATGTTCCTAGTACAGTGGTACCTTGGTTTACAACTATAATCTGTTCTGGAGGTCTGTTTGTAAACCAAAACAGGTTGTAACCCAAGGCGCACTTTCGACAATTGAGCCTCCAAAAATTTTTTGTCTGTAATAAAAAAAAAAAGGGTTGTAATCCAAAAAAAGGTTGCAAACCGGGACATGCACTTCCAGATTTGACGTTTTGTAATCCAAAACGTATGCAAACCAAGACGTATGCAAACCAAGGTACCACTGTATCTTCAAACCATCATGGCAAAACCAGCCACTCACTACTTCAGCCAGGATACTGGCAATTGCCTCTGAGTAAGAAGCTGCTGCCAGAGTCACTGGGGAGCCATGCCAAAAAGAACTCACAGCACTGTACATCCTGCATATGCTGCTCTTCCAACAAATCTGACTTATAAGGGTCAGGACAGGAAAACAGTACACAAGATGGCTGCAAAATAAAGCTGCCAACATTATTTCAAGTCCATGATCTTTCTGCTTCTAACAGCTGGGTTTCATCTGACAGTTTAGGTTATAGCCCTGGACAAAAACATCATCATGCTGCTCTGGGGCCTGTGCAAACTTTGCCCCCAACAGCCTTTAGTTTATAGCACAATGAGTATACAGTTAATACTCTCTCAGGGCAAGGGATCCAGCGTCTTCAATAAGATTTAATAAGAATTCTTTTGTAGGGATATAAAACTGTCCCAGAACTGAGTTTCAATATAGGACAAATTGTGATCGTGCAAGTGTTATAGGCATCACCAATGGAAAAGATTTCGTAAGTTATTTAGTATAGTTCTCTGCAACAACAGAATCCCTCATGCTAAAACTAAACCTGACCTGCATCTTTTTCCATGCACCTGCCTCTTTTTTTCTGCCAATAAAAAGCAACATTGGGAGCCTGTGTTTGAGCAGCAGGAATGATTGAGAAAGGTGCTCAGTGGTGTGAAGTCTACTTCCCACATTAAAAGTATAGGGGGGGTGAGGGACTGGGGTGGCAAAGCTTAAGTTCTTTATTGAGTGCATGCTTGGGGTTTTTGTGTCAGTGTCACTTGGGGAAGTTCTCTTTCTATTCGCTTGTTATGTTTCCTTAGTGGTGAGAGAGGTTGGGGTGGCTTGGGTGTGGTTGACCATCTTTGGCCGGCTGCAGTAGAATTTGTTTGTGCATGGGTGAGGGGGGTTGTCGGGTTAAGTTAGCCATATTGAATCGTATGCTGTTGGTGGGTTATGAGCTCTTTATAGTGTGAGTGGGCATTATTAACTTGGAATATGTTCAGTAGGGCCAGTTCTGGGGTGACTTCTAGTACCTGTTTAGTTATTTTGCTTATTTCTGGTATGACTGCGCACACCCCTTTTCTGACTGGGTCCTCGATTACTTGGTTTGGTGGGATCTGCTGGTTCAGACACAGCATATGTCTGAGAAGACCCCAGGAGCGATCATGGGGAGGAGGTGCAAGGAAAAAACTGTTGTGACATTTATTTCTTTGGCAACTTGGAAGGACTGTTGTGGGATCCAGAAACGGCAACCTGGAGCTCCACTAACCACTTAACTCAGGGGTCAGCAAACTTTTTCAGCAGGAGGTCAGTCCACTGTCTCTCAGACGTTGTGGGGGGGCTGGACTATATTTGGGAGGGGAAAATGAACGAATTCCTATGCCCCACAAATAATCCCGAGATGCATTTTAAATAAAAGCATACATTCTACTCATGTAAAAACACGCTGATTCCTGGACCGTCCGCGGGCCAGATTTAGAAGGCGACTGGGCCGGATCTGGCCCCCAGGCCTTAGTTTGCCTACCCATGACTTAACTGCTCTCTTCTCCATCAGCTTGGGAGCTTTTTCTGAGACACCTGCGGAATATGATAGCATCATTTGTCGTTTGAGCATCTTTATCAAGATGCTAACAGATCTGCCTGCCTTCGATCAGTTGTGCTTCAAGGGAAGCTCACCAGTCCTCTGATTCTTTAATATTTTCCAGCCCAGATAGATGTTAACCAAAGGATCTCACAACAGTCATCTCCCTGCAGGAGCAAGGAAGCATAAGAGAATCAGATGCACCACAAGAGCATCTTGGATGGGATGGCTTTCAAAGAGGGCTAGACAATTGCATGGAAGAGAGGCCTATCAAATGCAACTAGCAGTGATGGCTATGCTCAGCCTCCCCTGTTGGAGGGAGCAATGCTTCTGAAAAGTACTTGCTGGAAACCAGACTCCACAAACGTGTTTCACAAGGACCCCTTCATTCCCTCTGCCCCAGTACCTGAGGGTCGTCACATCTCTCCAGGGATTTGGCCAGAATGAAGTATATGTTGGGGAAAGGCTCCCTCCCTGCAAAGAAAATGGAGCAATCAGTAGGCACCTGGCTCCCAGCCATGCTAGCAGCAGTCTGGCACATGAGGTTGGGGGACATGGGAAGGAAGCATTCCTGTAGTATAGGGCATTCAACTGGCATTTCCACCTACATGAACTCTTAGCCTTTCCCCCCTTGTTCTGGCCTGCCTCTCTCCTAAGGAAGATGCAAGCTCTTGCTGGAAGCCACTGGTGGGGAGAGTGTTCCTATGATTCCCAAATGTTTCAGAAACATCTTTTTGTTCCTTTAGCTGATTCCTATAATCATAGCATGGTAGGATTGGAAGGGGTCCCAAGGGTCATCTAGTCCAACCCCCGGCAATGCAAGGATCCACCCATAGCCAGCCCCAGCTGGGCTCCAAACTCCAGCCTTCCGGTTACTATTGCAATTCTGCATGGTGTAGAGAAATGAGAGTGTAAGCAACACATTTCTCTCTCCCCTAACACTGATATGAGATCCACACCATGCATCCCTTTCAATAACTAAAGTCTAAAGGGCTGCCACATGAAGCAAGCTTGTTTTCTCCAGCTCCAGAGGCCCTTAGGGCCTGAAGCAGTGACTTGGAGGTTTTTAAGCAGCGCTTGGATGGCCATCGGCCATGGATTATCTAGTTGAGATTCCTGCATTGCAGGGGGTTGGACTAGATGACCCTCGGGGTCCCTTCCAACTCTACAATTCTATGCTGGTATGTTTTAAAGAGCATCCAATGCGCCTTTAAAGTACATGACTTCCACCGGAATGATTTGTGCCATTGTGGCTTCCCTCTCACAGACCTACAATCCCCAGAACCCCTAACAAACTACAATTCCCAGGATCATTTGGGGGAAGACACCTGGTTTTTAGAACAGGGATAGAGAACCTGCAGTTTGTTCACCCCCATTTTCTAGGAACCAGGAATGGGAAGCTCAAGTGCTTCTAACAGTATGGTTATAGGGAACAGCGAGTATAAAATATTGAATGTAATAGGGTTATTAAGGTAATTGTAACAGAATTATTATGGGAATGTTAAGGAGGGAGGGGGAAAGAGAGGTTGTGGAATTCTGGTGGTGAGTGATGATTGGATGAGAATTTGAAAGGGAGTTTGAAAGCGGGGCAGTTGAGAGTCAGTTCAAAGCAGTGGGTTATAGAAGGGGCAGTTGGGCAACTAACTATTCAGTTTAGGATCAGTTGTCTAGTTGTCATTTTTGTAATAATGAAGGGGTACAGTAAAGAAGCATATAAGATAAAGAGAATTTGAGGCCATAAGCTCAGGTACACACATCATCCTACAATCACTTAGTGAATCATCCATACAGTCTCCTTTAGTGAGGGTGCAGTACCTAGGATCTGAACCAAACATTGATATTTTCTTTTCTAGTTTCATAGGTTTATGTTCTGGTTCTAATGATGTAATAGGGGTGGGGGCTCTTTAAATACTGGGGGCAGCCATACACTCCTTTCCTTCTTTTTAAAAAATAATAATTTCCCCTTGTTTTCAAAAGCACATGTATTGTCTCTTTCTTCAGGTTCTTCAGTTACATTTTTTGTGAGACATCGGTGTTATATGCAGTATAGAGTTGGGAAGAAAAGAGGGGAGGGGAGTGAACCCAACCCTCCTTCTGGGCACTCCACTGCTTTAGGCAGCTTTATTATCACCCAGTTCTGAAACCAGAACTGAACCAAGCAAGAAGAGAGAAGGGAAGAGACGGGGGGGGGGATTGCCTTCCTCTCTGCACGTTTCTTTTGTAACCCCTCCATCCCTTATGTAAACTGGCAAACGTGCTTAAACATGGTCCTCGCTTTGAAGCCTCTCTGAACAAAGTGGTCCCGACTTCTGAGACAATATGCATATCTTCTCATTTTAGAAAGCAATAGTTCTCTTTATCCCCAATGTCAAAATCCTAAGAACCACAGCCAGCCAGCCATTTTAAAAACAGGCTAGAGGGTTTCCCTTTCTCTTCAATATGGCCATTCTTACAGAAAGTGATATAACAGATAAAAGGGGTGGTTGATGAGCACAAAGGCACTGCCTAAACTATTCAAAACTGTCTTCCCCCTGTATGTTCAACAGTCACAACTGGGTTATAAGAAACAGATGTACAGTACAGTGCAATTGCATGAAGGTTTGCTGAAAGGTAAGTCCTATTGAGTTCAATAGTACTTACCATATGGTTCTGAGAAACTATTCTGTTCTTGCTGACTCCTCTCTGGAAGAGATCTTACAATTTCCTTACCAGGTCTGGAAACTGGTAGAATTGCTGTAGCCATCCCAACGTTATAGTCTTCTTCTCAAAGTTCTGCTTATTTTTCAATGAGGTTGCATGTTCATGTCTAGTAACTTTGCATCATTTATTCAGTTGTCAATTTTGAACCTGATTTTTATGTATAGGTCACATCACTTCAAATTTCCTCACTGTGTAGATGTCATGAGCAGGCTGTCTATACCATTATATACCAGTTCATTTGAGAAATTCTATCCCAGGAAAGAATTTTCTACAAATTATCTTCCTTGCCTGCAGATGTTCCTTTCAAAGTATATTTGGCTCTTGTCTGCAGGTGTCCTGTAATCTGGATATCCTCAACAGTGGGCATTAATGTAGAGTGTGGGATACAATTCTTTAAAGTGCATAGTAGAACAAAGCATTGGGCTCAGTTTTCTGTGGAGCCCCTATATCCCTATGGTTCTCTTCAGACAGCACCACCTCCATAATCATTATCACCACTCTTTTATACCCAATGCTTTCAGCATGTCTTTTTCAGTAGTTTATCTGCAAGCATTTGTGTTTTAATAGAAACTCAATGTTTGACTACATAGCATGTGAGGACTTTGCACAACAGTCTATGCACAGCCCTGCATCTGAGGAATAGCCTAACTACACCACATGTTCAACTTAATTCAGTGCTATCGTTTGTAATTAAATGAGCAAGCTTGTCTTTATAGAGAGAGTTAATTTCCACTCATGGAGATAATCACACAACATTAGGGTTTTAATCCAATCAAGAGACTTTAAGGTACATAGGCAAGCTTTTCAAGCCTGACTGATAAATCTTCCTTTAAATCTTGAGTTTGGAAGCACACCGTTATCAAGTTGAAAACCAGACTCTTAAAAATGTCTGTTGCCTTTCAAAATGTTCTGTTGCTGTGGATAGTTCTAAAACATGAGTCACACAATTCAGAGTCACACAATATGATACTGTGGTGCCTGAGGCAGTCAATGATTCCTCCTGTTTCATGTACAAAAGCCACCCAGACTGGCAGCCGACTCTACATCAACACCGGTGACAGACCACCACCACACGTAAGGGCAGCAGGCTAGCTTAGGTGTCCCAGTTCACACAATTCTTTTTTATCTCTGGCCCTCACTATGCCACCTGAGGCAGCTGCCTCACTCTTCCTAATGGCAGGGCCTGCACTGTTCAGATTCGAAGTCTCAGGTACGTGTAGGAATGAGTTTTTAAACTCCACAGAAGACAATCATGGGCTTAAGACACCACTCTCCTAAGGTGCCCAGTCTTAACCATCCTTACTTTAAAGCAAGTGCCACTGCACATGGAGATAATCTTTGTTGCCTACGATTTCAGTTATGATTTCCCTTATTTATTAGTGCACTTTGCGACTTAACATTTCACAGCGTAACAGTGAGAATCTTTCTGTACTTGGCAACGCTCTCCCTTGCTCTTCAGGTACTTAAAATGTCCACAAACATGGATTTTCGAAGTCAGGGAAAAGATTTAAAACGTTTAACAAATGGGCAGAGGAACATGAGGAAGAGCGAAGGCCCCTCCTTTCTTTGGATCTTTTTGACCGGCCTCCACCGACGGCCGGTTCCTGTCAGAAGAAGGAACCCAGGCCAGAGCCACTTAGGCCAGGATTGGGGAACTTGCGGCCACGTAGGAACCTCCTATTCCAAGCCATTCCTCCAGTTAACGTAGTTCTGTATTGCCAACACGGGCTGGCAGCAGTTTCAGGTCGCAGCTTTCCTCCAGCCCTACTCGGGTGCCACTGAGTCCCGAACCTGGCGCATGCAAAGCATATGTTTTCCTAACTCCCACCATCCTCGGGCTGAGGCCAATGGGAAGTGGGAGCCACTGAGAGTCCCAACAGCGCCTGCAGCGCTGCCTTAGGGGTAAAGTTGAGGACTCCGCTTTCCACCTCAGAAACGCGGGGTTTTGCATTCTGACGTGCTTATGACGCTTGTCGGCGACGTCTCTCCAGCCCCTGAACTTTCCGAAACCCTAGCAACGACGCCGTTAACCCTTCAGCGAAGAGAAGGCGCTCCCTCAAGAACAAAATGGCGGCAGAGCCGCTCTCTCTTCCCCCCGTCTCCTCCCCGCCCGCACACTCTCTTCTCCTCTCAATTACGCCATATCCGGAGGCGGAGGCGACGCGACCGGAAGCTGGTCGCGTTTCCAAGATGGCGACTCCCTATGTTACTGATGAAACCGGTGAGTGGCGGGGAGCCGCGGCTAGGATGGGAGGGGGGCTCTCGGGTGCCGGCGTCCCCCTCCCCGCCACCGCCACCACCCTGCCTCACGCCAACCCCGACAGGTGCCTCGCCCCGCCCCACCCCCCTCCGGCCGCCGCGCTCCTCGGTTATCCCCGACATGACGCCCCTCCCCTTCTCCATCCTTGCCCCGCCTTCCCCTTCCATTCGGCTCCGCGAACACGCCCCCTCCGAAGGCCTTTCCCGCTCCTCGGTTGCGGCTTATCCCGCGCTGCCTTCCGTTGTGGCCCCGCCCCTTTGCTGCGGTGGCCCCGCCCCCGCGGCCGTTAGAGCCGAACCTCCCCTCAGTCGCCTCAGTTCCCTCTGGCCGGAGGGCGGAGGCGGTCTCTCCTCTCCGCCTTTCGTTTAGGACCGGCGCTATTGAGGAACAGCGATGGGGGTTAAGCATTGCCTGCGGCTCGCACTCTGACCCCTCCGTCCCTCTTTATATGAGGACAGTGATGGTGTATAAATCATGAGACCCTTAATATCAGGGTCCTGGGTTCGAGAGGTTCTTGCATTGCAGGGGTTTGGACTAGATGACCCTTCCAACTCTACAGTTATACGGTTCTGACACTGCATATGGTGACTCTACCTGGTCACTCCCTCCAGTGCCGGATTAAACCCTGCGGAGGCCTCCAGGCTGTTGAAACCTTACAAATGATCTCCTAATACGTTTTTGTAATTTTCTTTCAAGATCGCATCAATGTTATTTTGATCGTTGTCGCAGGGCCCCTAAAAATGCCCATTTGGTAATCCGGCACAGCCCTCCCTCCCCATTATGAACTATGTGGAAGCAACGCATATAGGTTTCAAGTGCAGCTACTCCCTCCCTGCCACCCCGTATCTTAGCTTTTCCTCACACAGGTATCCCCTGTTAAGCCAAATGCTGCTAGGGTTTTAAGACTGCGAGTGATTACGGGCCTCTTTTCTCCCACACCTAATACCAAGAGACCAGATGCAAAGTAGGAAACTTGGATAGTTGTGCAGAAGATGAAATTTCAGCAGGGATGGAAAAAGCTGCTGCTGCTGCTGCTGCTCTTTCTCCTCTAACAAATCAAGGTACAGAAGAAGCCGTTTCCTCAAATACATGTGTAGTGGCAAGGCTTCGTTTTATTTCTGTTTGCTTACTGCATTTATATCCTGCCTTTCCTCCAAAGAGCTAAAGCAGTCCCCGTGGTTGTCCTTGCCTTTATTTTATTCTCGCAAGAACTCTGTGAGACTGAGAGGTACTGACTGGCCTAAAGTCAGCCAGAGAACTTTGTTGTTGAGTGAGGATTTGAACCCAGCCTCTCATATCCTAGTCATGCTCAAACTGTTATGCTGCCTAGGCTCAAGTGACTGCCTAGGCTCATTGTGCATCCTCTGACAGGTAATGGTGGTGCAGTGCTTTTTGCTTTTTTCCTACATTGCATTATGGTAGTTCCAATACTCTTCCCCATGACTTCTAGTAAATGAAATGATTTGTGCGTCAGCATATGCTGGGTACTTGCATATTTCATCTTCAATATGGGATTTAAAATACTGAACTGATTTATTCTCTGTGATCCTTGCAGTAGCCCTATAAGTGAAGTGTTATAGAAATGTTAAATGTTCTGCAGCAAGAAATCCACTTGTGGGATAATCAGATGGGATGAGCTCTAGGGATGTTTTCACATTAATTTCTACCTGCAAGCCACTTCCTAATGGGATCATGGTAACATGCAAAGCTGCTAAATAAAGTATGGTTCAAATAACTTGACTTGTTTGAAACTGATGTGCCTTTTTATGTTTTGCTTTGGAAATGGTTTTGTAGTAATTTAGTAAGTATATTAAATAACTATAAAACCATTTCCAAAGCCAATTTCCATAGTAGAAAAATTCCTCTCGGAGGCAGTAAAAAATCAGAAATCATTATGTATAGACTAAAGCTGCTCTGTTGGCTAGCAAGGCTGATTTTACACCTTAATAACTGTTGATATTTATTAATGTGGTACTGTGCATTTTGGGTTTATGGGCCGCAATAAAGCTATGTGTGTATATATCAAATTTAGGCATATCTTGTCTTTTGCTTTTGCTTCTTTTAAAGGTAATATTATGGTGTGATACAGCTTATGAATATTTAAAATAAATGAACATTGACAGGATTTTTTAGAACACTGAAAAGCCCGCATGATCACATAGAGATATGTAAAGATAGGGTATCTTTTCACAAATATTTTTGAATGTTTTAGGGAAATACATCGCTTCCACACAGCGTCCAGATGGCACCTGGAGGAAACAGAGGAGGGTGAAGGAAGGCTATGTTCCCCAAGAAGAAGTGCCCGTGTAAGTTAAACACTCATCTTCTAACCTCTCTTTCTTTCTTTTCTTCTTTCCCCAAACAATGCATTGCCCTTTGATGCAAGCAAAGGGTACATTGTTTGGTATCTTCCCAACAAAGGAAATAATGTAGAAGGAAATAAAGGTCTGTTCCATCTGGAAATTTGTGTGGGGCCCATCTATTGTATGTCACATCTTACCTGTTTACATGTATATGTAAACACAACTCCTAATTACATTAACACTATTTTATTTTTATGTATTTAATATAAATTTAACAAAATACTGTTAATGTAATTAGGAGCCATTTCGAGCATGTGAACAGATCAGATGTGCCATACAACAGACGGACCCCACACCCAATTTCCAGATGGTACAGACCTATGCTCCTTTCTCCATTCCTCCCATTTTACCATTTGGTACCTTCCCTTCAATCTAACCTTCAGATTATGATTATGATAAACCTAAATATCTGAAAGAGTGGCTGGGGAAACCCAGACAGATGGGTGGGGTAGAAATAATAAATTATTATAATAAGAAACAAAGAAACTTGTTTTTCAAGGAATATCTTCTCCCCACTGGCCTCTGTTATTGGAAATGAGGACAACATGCAGTTCTGTTTAGACATTTTGCATATCTGCAGTTATGACATAACAAACCAAACAGAAACTCCTGCCTCAGTAGTTCTCAGTGTGAAAGTGCAGCAAGAAGGAATTGCAGCAGGAATGGTAAACACACTTGTGTTTGACTTTAGATACTCTCCCCCTCTATTTAAATAAATACATGGGGTGAGATCCAAAGAGCCACCAAATTAGTTCTGTGCCGCCAAAGAAGCTTGTTTCTCAAACAGCTCACTCTGCCACACAACATACCACTTTTGAAATTGAGGGGAATTTCAAAAGCAATTTGCGATATTGTCAAGTATGGGGAATGGTTGTCAACATTCTCCCTAGGCACTCCCTGGCCACTCAGAATTTCTAAGGTATTTATTTATTTGGTTCCATGCAATGGTCAGGGACAACAGAACTAATAGCCCTACAACATCACGAGGGTCCCAGGTTCCCCATCACTGCCCTAGGACCAGGTGCCTAAATGTGAAGATTTAGTATCATAAATAACATTAATGTGGCTTTATCACCCATGTCTTTCTGGCTTTAGAGACACCATTGATGTATGAACAAAAGTGCCCCGAAGGAAGCCATCTATACCAGGCAGCAAAATAAATAAATAAATAAATTCTGTACCTGCCACCCTGCCTGTTGTAGGTGCTGCTGCTGCACTTTCCCCACCAGTCAATGTTTATGGCTTCCCCACCACCACCAACAAAAAACCATCATAGCTAAAAACGTCCCTTTAGACTTGGGACGGGCATTTACTGAAGCAATTACCCCAGACTGCAGTATGCACCATCCATCTGAGAACCCAGAGGTGGCATGGATTCTTCAGGGCACTAGCATGCAGCTGCAAACCCAGTGTCTGCCCTAAGTAAGCAGCTGCACAGACACAACATCACTCCTGTCCCAGCACTTCATGCTGCAATATCTGCTGCTTTTTTATGGAAACGAGCTGGAATTACAAATGGACAGTTCTATTATTTTTTAAGCGGCTCCCCCCTGCTCTCCTTTCTTATAGAAGCACTGAAGATAGGATTCCTCCCTTCTGCCCCCATCCCCTTGATTTCAAGTACTGATAGAAGAGAGTTCTGATCTCTTTTGTTCCATGCAGGTACGAGAATAAATATGTGAAATTCTTCAAAAGCAAACCAGACCTGCCTCCGGGCCTGAATCCAGAGGTCAACACCCCGGTGGCCAGGCAAGCTTCAAAAGGACCAGAAAGTGGTGAGATAGGTCTCTCCAAGACGGCCAAGAGGAACCTAAAACGCAAGGAGAAGAGAAAGCAACAGCAGGAGAAAGGGGATCGTGATACAGATGACCTGATCCAGTCATTAGAGAAAACTACCTTGTCGGTGACACCAGGCAGCAGTGGGGATGCTAAGCTGGCTGTCCCCGATGGTAGCACAAGGCCCCCTGCAGGCAGCGGCGATTCCTCATCTGCCACAGCCAACTTGGAGAAGAACAAGAAAATAAAAAACGTGAAAAAGAAATTGCGGCAGGTGGAGGAGCTGCAGGCACGGATTGACTCTGGGGAGATCAAGCAACCGACCAAAGAGCAGTTGGACAAGCTGGCTCGAAGGAAAGCTTTGGAAGAGGAACTCGAGGATCTGGAGTTGGATTTGTGAGGGGTTGGAATTTCCACCGGACATAGTGTGCATAGGAACAAACCGTCCCCAGGGGAACATTCTGAGAACTGTGCAACACACAGACCAGAAGAAGCTGTCTTCAGGCTCTTCCTTTGTACCTTTTATTTTATTTTATGTTGGGTGCTGTCTGAATTTTTAAAAGTATTTCTCCCAGCTATTGATGTGTTAGATACCTGAGGACTCTAAAACCTATTTGCCACCCTCCTTAAATTTCCTCCTAGTCTCTTCCTCCCTGTTGAGGTGGGTGGCTTGGAATGTCATGGCACAGGGGGGTGGCTTTCAGAGGAACCTGAGTGGGTGGAGTGTCCCCTATCTTCCTTCTCCCTGCCCCTGTATAATACTCAACACCTTTATGTTCTCTGTAGTGGCCACTCCACCTCCCATCTTCTCTTCTTCCTCATTTTTAAAAGAGATGCAATAATAAAAATTGCAGTAGTGATCTCTGCGTCTAGGATGTTCTTCCTCCCTTTTAATCCAAGCAGACTCTTGGTCTAAAGCTTGGGTTTTTTTTGTTGTTGTTTTTTTTAAAAGCTTCTCCGTGGTAGCAATACTTGTATACCCTTCCCTTTTTTAAGCAGGCAACTCAGTTAAACTATTCTTTTGGGTGGCAATTGTGAAAAGGGTAAATTCAGTGTGAGGGGTTGAAAATGAAGCTGCCAATATTGTAATGTATTTATGAAAATCTATGGTGTAAGGTAAAGGACCCCTGGACAGTTAAGTCCAGCTTTTCTGGGTCATGTGGCCAGCATGACTAAACCGCTTCTGGCGCAGGAACACGAAGACGTGTGCCGGAGCGCAAGGAAATGCCGTTTATCTTCCCGCCAAAGTGGTACCTATTTATCTACTCACGGTGGTATGCTTTTGAACTGCTAGGTTGGCAGGAGCCTGGGACAAAGCAACGGGTGCTCTCTATGGTGTAACCACATTTGGGACACTAGTTTCCACATCTCCCGAAGGATACTGTGGAGCTGGGAAAGGTATGGAAAAGGACAACCAAAATCATGAGGAGGCTGCTCTACTTCCCCTGTTACAATGCTGAGAAACTTCTGGCCCACCATAAATTGGACTACAATTCCCCTCATTTCTGACCATCACTTGCTGGCTGGGGCTGATGGGAGTTTGGGATCCATCAGCATCTGAAGGGCAACAAGTTCCCTATCCCTGCCCTATGAGGAAGTGTCAAATGCAGAGAAAATGGGTTAGAGACCTTTTTCTTCCTCATAATACATGAGCCGAGTATCATTCGATGATATTGATTGGCAGTAGATGAAAGGACACATTCAGGAAAGGAATTCCATGCCATGTGTAGATTTATGGACTTCGCTGCCACAAGATGTGTTTACGACCACAGGCTTAGAAGCTTTTAAAAGGGGATTAGACACATTAATGGACTTGTCAAAGCATGATCCCTTTGAGTTATGGACCTGCTTTTCTGCTCAGCTGTGTTTAATGTTGCATTTTGGACTGACAGCCTTAGTACAGCCTCTGTTCATGAGCAATGAGCTGAAGCTCTCAAAAAGCTAGTAGCACTGAGTTATCCACCCATCCCGAACTAAAACACTGTACATTGTTCCTCTGCTAATCATGTTCTCTCCCAGCAAACAAAAGCAGGGCTGGGAAACCTTCAGTCGGAGGGCCGCATTGCCTTGTGGAGGCCACATGCCAGTGGCCGGCAGGCCCAGAAGCAAGAGTGTTTAAAGCAGGCTACCTCAACCTCAGCCCTCCAGATGTTTTTGGCCTACAACTCCCATGATCCCTAGCTAGCAGGAGCAGTGGTCAGGGATGATGGGAATTGTAGTCTCCAAACATCTGGAGGGCCGAGGTTGAGGAAGCCTGCTTTAGAGCATTGGATGAAAATATTCCTTTCGTTTCCACACACATTTCCCCCTTTTATGTTCTCACGCAGCCAAGCAAGAAGCATCAGAGTTCAATTATGCATTCTAGACAGGCAAAAATGCCCAGGGAGGTTTGCAAAGCAGGGCTGGGGCGGGTATGGTCTGGGGCAGGGGGCAGCAACCTTTTCCAGCCGTGGGCCGGTCCACCATCCCTCAGACCTTGTGGTGGGCCAGACTATATTTTTTTTGGGGGGGGGAATGAATGAATTCCTATGCCCCACAAATAACCCAGAGATGCATTTTAAATAAAAGCACACATTCTACTCCTGTCAAAACACCAGGCAGGCCCCACAAATAACCCAGAGATGCATTTTTTCTACTCATGTAAAAACACACAGGCTGGATTGAGAAGGCGATTGGGCCGCATCCAGCCCCTGGGCCTTAGGCTGCCTACCCCTGGTCTGGGGAGAGGCCTGGAAGGGCACATTTTACCCCTGGGCTTGAGGTTTGCCATCCCTGCTCAAAAGACAAGAGGTTGGATAATGAGAAAATAGGATTCCATGTCTTGCTCTTCGTTGTCACTGTCCAGCAGGTGGCACCAGAAGGTCTTATTAGTGGTGCAACATCCCAATATAGTATATTCTATTACTAGAGTGTTGAGCTATTTTGCCCTTCCTGAACCCCTCCCTAAGTACAGTAGGGGGAGGTAGTAAAGGATCTCTACCACCCCCTTTTTTTAGCCAAGAGGTTGAAATGTCAGTGTTGGTTGGCAGATTCTGTAGCTGTCTTTTTAGGTCAGTTTGGCTGGCGGTGGATTTGGGGAGTATAGCTGACCTAGTTCCCATCCCAGACTCTTGATTATTTTCCACCCATTAGCATCACCACCCAATCTTCCAGGGCACTCCATGCTCCATATTCCTCAGGATCATTACAAGTGCCAGTCACTGAGATCATGGCTGAGAATAAAACGGAAATTGCACCAGTGTGGAAAAAACAAGCCTCCCGCTTGTGTGTGTTTTTCTCGGTTTGCACAGCTGCCATAAGTGGCAAGAAACTGCCTGCTGACTTGCCAAGTGGTGCACTTGAGGTTGAAATCTTGCCCTTGGGAGACTACTGCCCAAATAGCTAAGGTTTGCCAGCCTCTTCGTTCAAATACGGTGCTTGTCACTTTAAAAGCACTCAGAAGAGGGGGCAGTTTTTGATCCACAACAGACAGGATAAAGGATGGCCAAAGGAAAGATTAGTATGGAAAAGTGAATGCAGCCGCTGCTTCTCCCGCCTTGCTTCTCGGTCAGGCTGGTCAGTTCCCCTTTCTTTTTCCACCTACTTGAACCAAAACGGATGTTCACATTTCTGGAAGCAGAGAGTGGTTGGTAGAATCAAGTGCTGTAGGCTGGGAGTTCTCCCACTGAATCAGATGAAACAGAACTGGCACCCTGGCACCTGTCCCTTCCAGACATGTGTTCCTCTCTCCTGCCTTGTTTTAATTTCTACTGAAAACTATATTTTGAGATTACTGCATTTTATATCTTGCTGTTCCATCTAAAGAGCTTGGGGTGGCATCTATATTGTTCTGCCCATCCCTGATATTTGACTTAACAACAACCTTCCGAGGTCAGCTAAGGTAAAGGCAAAGGACCCCTGACCATTAGGTCCAGTCGTGGCCGACTCTGGGGTTGCGGTGCTCATCTCGCTTTATTGGCCGAGGGAGCCGGCGTACAGCTTCTGGGTCATGTGGCCAGCATGACTAAGCCGCTTCTGGTGAACCAGAGCAGTGCACGGAAACGGCGTTTACCTTCCCACCGGAGTGGTACCTATTTATCTACTTGCACTTTGGCGTGCTTTCGAACTGCTAGGTGGGCAGGAGCAGGGACCGAGCAACGGGAGCTCAGCCCGTCACGGGGTTTTGAACCGCTGACCTTCTGATCGGTAAGTGCTAGGCTCTGTGGTTTAACCCACAGTGCCACCCATGTCCCTAAGCTAAGCTGAGAGATGGTTTATTAGCAGGCCTAAGTTTCATGGCTTTGGGGATTCGAACCTGCGTTTCCTTGGCCCCAGTCTAGCTCCTGCTCCACTCTGGTTCTCAGAAACAGCAATAAATGATCCTCAAATTCATTTCTGCCCAAGCTGAGCAGCATGCAAAAAGCCCTCTTAACTCTCTCCTCCCATGTGTGAATAACAGCTGAGGCTTTACAGTTGCCCACCAGGAAGAAGCAAGAAATTTAATACTGTATCTCTCTCCCCAGTACATCACACAGAATGAACAACAGCTTAGGCTCTGTCAAGAGTTCTCACCTGCTCAATCCTGCCCAAATGACTACCTCATTTTTATAGTATCCATATACATTCACAGTTTGCTGACATCTATCTGTGGATAGACAGCACCTAAAAAAGTAGAGACATCACCTTGCCAACAAAGGTCCGTATAATAAAAGCTATAGTTTTCCCAGTAGTGATGTATGGAAGTGAGAGCTGGACCATAAAGAAGGCTGATCGCCGAAGAATTGATGCTTTTGAATTATGGTGCTGGAGGAGACTCTTGAGAGTCCCATGGACTGCAAGAAGATCAAACCTCTCCATTCTTAAGGAAATCAGCCCTGAGTGCTCACTGGAAGGACAGATCCTGAAGCTGAGGCTCCAATACTTTGGCCACATCATGAGAAGAAAAGACTCCCTGGAAAAGACCCTGATGTTGGGAAAGATGGAGGGCACAAGGAGAAGGGGACGACAGAGGACGAGATGGTTGGACAGTGTTCTCGAAGCTACCAGCATGAGTTTGACCAGACTGCGGGAGGCAGTGGAAGACAGGAGTGCCTGGCGTGCTCTGGTCCATGGGGTCACGAAGAGTCGGACACGACTCAACGACTCAACAACAACAACAACAACAACAAATCTGTGGATAGTTCCTTGCAGTACATTTTGTGTTGCGATCATCCAATACATAGTCATAAACAAGCATGGAAGACACTGGGTTTTAAAACTTTCTGCTCAATTTTATTACTCAAAGGCCTTGCCAGTAGCAGTTCTAGTAGCAAACCAATAGTAAAACAGATGTCATTTCACCCATGCATAAGCCAGCGGTTCTGCACATACACCCTTGTCTCGCCATACTCTCCCCAGGCAAGCAAGAAGGATTATTACACTTCAAGGACACATTCCAACCTGGCAAAAGCACTTGAGGATGCAGAGTCAGGCCAGCGAATATTGCAACCTGGAGAGTGGAATGGCCTGTAGAAAGACACAAGTGCCTTAAATTCTCCTGCATGCCTGCTATTACCCCTATCATTATGAACTGCTCCCTCCCAGCTGATACTATTTGCAGGGGGGGGGTGTTGTGTTGTTATTTAGCCGTTTAGTCGTGTCCGGCTCTTCGTGACCCCATGGACCAGAGCACGCCAGGCACTCCTGTTTCCACTGCCTCCCGCAGTTTGGTCAAACTCATGCTGGTAGCTTCGAGAACACTGTCCAGCCATCTCGTCCTCTGTCGTCCCCTTCTCCTTGTGCCCTCCATCTTTCACAACATCAGGGTCTTTTCCAGGGAGTCTTCTCTTCTCATGAGGTGGCCAAAGTCTTGGAGCCTCAGCTTCACGATCTGTCCTTCCAGTGAGCACTCAGGGCTGATTTCCTTCAGAATGGAGAGGTTTGATCTTCTTGCAGTCCATGGGACTCTCAAGAGTCTCCTCCAGCACCATAATTCAAAAGCATCAATTCTTCGGCGATCAGCCTTCTTTATGGTCCAGCTCTCACTTCCATGCATCACTACTGGAAAAACTATACCTTTAACAATATGGGGGGGGGGGAGACACCTGCACATTAAATGCAAATATGCATTTAATATTATGTCACGTTGGGCGCTCAGTGTATCGCCAGTTGCAATTTTGTGAGGTTAGAGAATGTCAAACCTGGATTCAGTTCCTGTTGAGTCATGAAGCTTGCTGGATAACCTTGGGCCAATAAGTATTCACAGAATAGTTAGGATAAAATTAGATATTTCTTATGTATGTTGCTCTGAGCTACTTGGAGGGACAGGGTGCCTGCCTCATGTGATCCATAAATGATAATCATTTATTCCTCCTTAGTTTTGATATTAAATAACTCAGGGTAGCCTTTTATTTTAGATTTTGTTTCTGTCTTTTTTTTAAAATAATTTGTTAACTTGTATTTACATTATTACCCCTCTAATTTCTGAAACAGGAAATGCTGCTTGTTTGAAGCATGGATAGGAAGGAGCAGGAGGAAGAAACCCACCCTGTTCTTTTTGAATGTCGCCAAATTTTCTTCACACCGCATCTTGTTTACTTCCCATGATAAGAAGAACCCCTGTGTGTATTGCTGAAATTAAACACAAACATTTTGGATAACGGAGTCTAGCAGGTGCATGTTGAACTTAGATTGCATAGGCTCGTTTGTAGGGAGCTGGTGCTGGGAATGCTGGACAGGAAGGGATTTTGAGCCCTTCCGAATATGATTCTGCTTGCAGAAAGGCCAGCTCATTGTATTCTGCTGCCTGAGATAGACAAGATGGAACCCCCTTTCCACATAGAGTTGCCACCCAGACTATCAGTTGAATCTTATCTTAAAGCTTCTGTTGCTACTCCACACCCACCCACCCCACTATCCACTGCCTGAGGTAGCTACCTTACTCTGCCTAATGATAGGGCCGGCTCTAGATAAGAAAAGCATCAAGATTTCTGAGAGGAGCTGTATGTGCACATTAAGCTGTCTTACAGTGAGTCAGACCATTGGTCTGTACACCTCAGTGTTGTCTACTCTGATTGGCAACAGCTCTCCAGGGTCTTGGGCAGCTGTATTTTTGTGTGTTTGTTTGTCACTTTCACCCAATTTCTTTTAAGCAGTGATACCGGGATTGAACCTGAAATCTTTTCCATGCAAAGCACAGACTCTCCCACTTGCCTCTCACACAAGTAAGCCCTTCATCTGGATTGCCCCTTACAGAGTGATAAATATAACATCTCTCTCCTCTCAAAACATCTGTGCTACAGATAGCTACATAACCAGCTGTGCTCTCTAATGCCCTGTTTCTTCATAGCTTGTCATTCTTGTCGCAATAGGTTTTTATTTTGATTTATACTTTGCCCCACCCCTAAGGCACAGAGCAAATCACAAGATTTTATTATCTTTTTTAACCTTGTAACTGCTAGTGTAACAGCAGAGAGAGGTAAGCGAAGAATTTGAGGGTTACAACTGTTGTCATACACGAGGAGCTACTGCAAAATAAAAAGACATTTTCAGTGATGTGCAGAGGCCCATTCTGTTTTATCCCTTGTCTGCCATAGGAACATCTGAGCATTGCCAATAATTCTGGGGGACACTTTAATGTGTGCACCCATTTCATGTGGAACACGAGTCAGCCATGTTGGATCTTCGCTATTGTTCTGCATGAACCGAGATTGTACCCTAGAACAGAAGTTTTCAGCTTATTCAGTCTGGGAGCTATCATTCACCCAAACGTATTGTGACATGCCATCCAGATCTCCGAGCAGTGAGAAATTCCAGGTGTTTACCTAGGGTTCATGTGGAAATCAGGCACAGCAGAGACTGTAGTGTCTTTATTAAATATGGTTTATTTATGTTACTATCCAACCTGAGCTTATGACGGAGGGGTTACAGTGTTGGCACCCCAATAGGTTATTGCTTCTGGCATAGCCTCAGCCTTGGATTCAAACATAAATCAAACTTGCTCTAAAATGTGGCTCTGACCCTTTCCCCAGCTTGCTGCATTTTTCAGACTGTAGCATCGCTGCCAAAACCCAATCCTGATCTCAGCTCTAAAACTTTGTTCCTCCCATTTCCCTCCTGGTAGGAAGACCCCTCTTTCTGGCTTTCCTGATGCCCCATTACCTTCCCTTTGTCTTTGATTAATGGCTCATCTCCCAAGCAATTTCCTGAGTATGGGAAGCTGCTATGACGTGTGTTTTAACACTTCACTAATTCCATTGTCTGGCAGCCAATTTTAACACTCCAAGC